TGTTAATATGTTAAAACTGTTAATAAATTTATTACGAAAAATATTACCTCGGCCGGGACTTGAACCCGGATCTCTTGTATTCCGTACGAGCGTCCTATTACTAAACCATTAGACCAATCGATTTAATTCGCGATTACTACAGTAGTTTTAATTGCGTTTATTTAGTCCGGAAAATTCGGCGCGCAGTTTGAAAAAAGACTACAATATGGTATATATGCAAGTACATATATAGTATATATTAGTAATTCAAGATTGAATTACTTAAGCAACGAAGATCCAGCTTCGATCGTAATAGGCATTTTAAATTTCTAGCATTGATTGTGTTTCTCACATATACGGTCTAAAATTAAGATATTGTTTAAATTCATCTTATTAAATTGTTATAAATCACGAATTTATCTAGAGACATAGGTACATATCATTATTTAATATTTAAAATTTTTGTCATTTCGTTCAATAGTTGGGTCATGTCCATTAACCCCTACGTTGATTGTAATGTATATGTCGTAGGTAATTGATTACTTCAGGAAAATAGCTTTTGACTAGCCAAATGCTATCTACCTAGTCAAATGGCTTTCGCCAGTTTCCAATGCTATTTTCCTAGTTACACTGAGAAAAATGATTTTGTTATAGGAACAAATCAAGGGAAAGAAATGTAATATTTGTTAAAAAAAATAATTTTGACAAACAAGAAAATTAAAAAACAAAAAAAACAATTTTTGATCACTTTTTTAATTTCGCGTATCTTGAATATCGTTGGCTTAATCGCTTTGTCACCTGATACTTTTCGATAGAACTCGTCGAGAACTGCCGAACATTTCGTTCAATAGTTGGGTCATGTCCATTAACCCCTACGTTGACTGTAATGTATATGTCGTAGGTAATTGATTACTTCAGGAAAAAAATTTGTTAAGAGTTCCAGTAGTTCTAATTATCGTTTTCGGCAGTTCTCGACGAGTTCTATCGAAAAGATGGGACTTAGAAAATTTTCGACTACCTAAAAAATTTGTTAAGAGTTCCAGTAGTTCTAATTATCGTTTTCGGCAGTTCTCGACGAGTTCTATCGAAAAGTATCAGATGACAAAGCGATTGGGCCAACGGTTTTCGAAATATAACATATTTGATAGGTAGTCGAAAATTTTCTAAGTCCCCCGTCGAAAAATTTTTTAAGAGTTCCAGTAGTTCTGATTATCGTTTTCGGCAGTTCTCGACGAGTTCTATCGAAAAGTATCAGGTGGCAAAACGATATTCAAGATACGCGAAATTAAAAAAGTGATCAAAAATTGTTTTTTAATTTTCTTGTTTGTCAAAATTGTTTTTTATGTGTCAGGAACTCTAGGTATTCACTGAACAAAGCTATTGAGCCGCTCAGAACTATTCGATCTCGAATTTCGCTGAGAAGTTAGCACCCCATTTTTTAAAAATTATTAAAAAATTGTTATTAACTGAATCTCGCATTAAAAAATACAGAGAACTCTTCGTCTCGTTAAAAGGAAGCAGGAACTCTAATCAGAACTATTGTATCTAAAAATTGATTTTTCAAACATTTTTAATATTTTTTGGATTTTTCAAAAATTTTTTTTATGTATCAGGAACTCTAGGTATTCACTAAATAAAGCTATTAAGCCGCTCAGAACTATTCGATCTCGAATTTCGATAAGAAGTTAGCACCGCATTTTTTAAAAATTATTTAAATATAGTTATTAAGCGGAACTCTTGTTATAAATTATAGAGAACGCTTCGTCTGGACAAAAGGAAACGGGAACTCTAATCAGAACCATGGAATTTCAATATTGGGGTGCTAATTTAACATACGCTTGGAAAAAGTCAAAATTTAAAAAAGAATAATTGTTTATGAATTACTTATTAAAGTGCGCATAAATTGAATTAAAAAAATTTTTTTAACTAATGGTTCCTGTAAAATCAGGTCTGAAGGGGTTAACTGCTCATTAACTGGTACATTTACCTTGTACGTCTATCAAAATACTGAAGTCTTGAAAAACGAGATAGCAGTTGATCCACTAGGTGGTGCAAAAGGGAAACTATGAAGGAGGAGGATCAGGAAGAGGGATCGAGGGACCGAGAGATGTGGGTCGGTGATCGATTGCGCCGGTACAGGCACAATAACCAGAGGATGGAGTCATGTATCCGGGCTAAACAGCCCATTTGCTCAGTACAATGGCAGCGACGTCGCTGTGGGCCCGACTTAATTACCAAAGGCTGCCTTTGGCAGACGGAAGTGGGGAAACGGGTGGCGAGGCTTTATCAGAAGCGCCTTATACAGCGAAGCTTCGTTTAATGGCCGCGCAAGAATGCGAATTTGGCGACATGCCTAGGAATCTAATCTAAGAAGCTATTCCGGAGCTACCTCTTAAACTCCGCGTTAGTGATACTCGAGCGATTATGAATCACGTTAGCTATATTATTACGGTAACGCATTCACTGATTTATCGTTGCCAAAGTATTACTATATTACCAAACATTAAATCATACGTTTTAAATTACGACTTAAAGTACGGAATCACTGTTGTAAAGTTTTTCAAGTTAGAAGGATTTTCCTTCCGCGTGAAAAGAGGATCGCATAAAATCGACTCGAAGTTGAGAAAAATGCGTTCCTAAGAAAGTCGCCTATAACGGAGTTCGGCACGGATTGTATAAACCACTTTCGTCTATGTCTCCTGCATAACGCGCATGATGCATCGCGACGGGGCTCCATTTTCCGTGAAAACAAAACAGTTTTCCGATAGTTTCCGGGGACGCGCGAAAACGAAGGAAGCACTTCGCCATTAGTCTGCGCGAAACTGTTGGTATGTATCATTCTATAACGAGGGCAAATTGCGAATCCGCGCTACACTTACCGGAGTTTTCATAAAGTTCGCCGGGCGGGAGAGGCCACTGCATTAGACGAAAGATACCTGGAACAGAAAACGAAAAGAACACCTTTAACTCGCGCGGAAACTACGTTAGCAGAGAAACTTCGAGTTACGCGGAGTTTCAAATCTCGACAATTAGCCGGACTATCACGACGCTCATCTCCTCGACGAGATAAATCACTCGCTAATTGCAGCTTCTGTATTAAATACCTGTTATCTCGGTATATTAGTGCAAAATATTATGGAATTAATGTTACTTTTAAAGAGAACAACTTCGAGACAATGTGTCACTTTCTGTCAACTACTCTCTCAATAATATAGTAATATAGTAATAATAACAGTAATATATTTGACGATAGTCGAGTGTTTATTGAAATTTTATTTAAAAAATACCCTGAGAATTCTCTCTTCCGGATTTTTCAAGTATCTTTATTTAAAATTCCAGAAAACTTTAAGCTCGACTTTAAGATTAAAGAACTTTAAAATGAATTGGAGTGCAAGCAACGCACACAGAGATTATATACATTGTTTGAAATTTCGTAATGAATTTAAGTAACATGTAACGGAAGCTTGTGGTTATGACGTAACTAAAAAGTAATGCATGATTTAATTGAAAACTAAGTTACAGTAGTCTTAAATGTAATAAACGTGTGCATTAAATTTTATGTAAATCTACATAAAATTGTATGAAAAGTACATTAAATTTCATATACTTACATGTACTATACACAAACATACTTTTCAGTTACAAATACATTAAATTTAATGTAATGTAATTAATGTAACGTCATGAAATTAAATTAAACTCGTGTAATATTCAAATAGGGTAACTCCGGTATATACGCCGTACCTATTAAAAACTTAATTTATTAAGTATTACTTACTATGTTTATAGTAAACGAACTATATCAGTAAAAACTTTGTACTGTCTACTACTACGAAAAAAATATTAGAAATCCGAAATATTTATTTTTTATATTAAAAAATACATTTTTTGAAATCCTTATATTTTTGCCATATATCCCATAGGGGTGGAATATATGGCTACTCATAGGGGGAGGAAGGGATATGTACGGCTGATGAAAAATTTACAAATAATGCATATAAATAAGACGTATAATTATATAATATTTTACAAAATATGTTTATAAAGTTTTATTAAGGAGTAAGATTAATAAGAATGGTAAATATGTATATGAAGTAATAAATAATAATTATGATCTTCCTACATATATTACAAATATTATGACATGACGTACATATTTCATATAATGCGTTTATTGCATTTAGTGCACTGAATTCAATCTGCGCACTTCGTATGCTTTGGGCATAAATCCCGCTCGCTAAAAATGCCGTATATCCCAAACAGGTGGAATATACAAGACAACAAACTAAACAAAGAATACGAAAGCAAAGCTCTTGTATTTTGCTACACAACATGCTTTACTATTCCACTACACGTATGTATCACGAAATAACCACTAAGTCTTTTACACGCCCTACATAAATCATTTTATGTAGATTATAATTTATGATGGCGTTACTTATTACAGTGACAAATCGATTCAACTCACAATAATTTCATTAATATTAACAGTAAAAAGCTGAAATTATAACTCAATACTAATATAACATAAAGGCATGTAACAGAGTAGTTACGGGAAAATTACCCCCACACCTTCTATTTTTTCTGACTTCTGCGGCATAAATCCCAGCGCGGCGTATTTGCCGGAGTTACCCTATACTAAATTTCATGATATTTTTAACACACAGTATATATTGTAAATTAATAAAAGATAGGGATTCTAAGAGACCATACATTCACAATTTTTTACAAATGGAATCGCGAAAATATATATTTTTTTATTGACATAAAGGTCTTGATCATTGAAATAATAATTTATGCCTTTATGTCAATAAAAATATACATGAATTAATCACTTATGTTAGTGACAACCCGTAATATAGACTACTACATATTATGTAGTATATTTTTTTTGTAGAATGTACTCATTTCATTTTCTAATAAAGAGTTTTTTATCGTTAAATTTAGGCATTCGATTTAAGGATGTCAAAATCACAAAGCGATATTATACTTTAGAATGTGTAAAAAAAAATTTTCTCCTTAAAAACGTTTTATAATCTAATTAAATGCAACTTTTAAAGGCTATGTAGAAGGTCCCAGAAAAATTCCAACTGAATCTCGTTCTGGGTAAACAGACCTACAATTTAAGAGGAGTAACGATCCATTTGAACGCTTGGAATCTTGCTAAAATCGACCTCGAACTCGAAATTTGGTCATTTTTTTCAAATTAATCGGGCTGTATTTCTTAAGGCATATATTGCAGAGCTAACTGAATTATTGCATCGTGTTCAGTGATCAAAAAAACATACAGTACCACATTTAAAATCAGGATTAAGCTATTTTTGCATTAAATCAAACATGCATTAAGGAAAATCGAAACTTTGATTTAAGAATTATTTACTAACGATCTCTAAATCTTAATATTTTTTAAATAAAAATTTAGGGGTGTTCTTTTGGCATGAAATGGAAGCTTTTGAGCTGAGAGGCCAATTAAAAAGAAAATTTTTTTTCCTTGTCAGTCTAATATATATATATAGTGTGTAATTTATATTATATTATATTTATATTATATTTTCTCTTTATATAAAGACGTAATCGTCGAGATTTATTCGCGAATAAAAATTACAGCTGGCATAAGGAAGAATGATATCATCTCATGGAAACTTTTGTATCTGATAGTGATATATTTCACGCGCAACACATTGTGTCCTCCGATTTCATACGTTGGGAAAGGGTCTACGAAGATGTCCCCTGATGTCGGTTATACCGGAGTCAAAGGGGCAAAACGAGGTAAACTCCAGGACGCTCGACGACGCGAATTCGAGGAAGAGAAGTTCTCTTTTATTTCAATCCTTCGTCGTCACGCTGCACACACGAATCCAAGCACATCCGGAAGACAGGAAGACAGAAAGAAAGGGGGGGAGGGGGGCAGGAGAGGAAGAGAGATACGAGTAGGTCGTCTCTACAAACGTACCCCCAAACGGGCTGGCCTGAGTGGTTTCCCGTGTTCGGTGTCGCGCACAGACGACGCCGCCGCGCCGGGCGGTACACATTTGCAGCATTACGTGTTTCATGCGCACCCGGTAGAAGCGACGAAGAAGAGTCCTCGAGACTCATCCTCGCGTAGGAGGACTCGCCACGTGAAGGGTACATACTGCACGGCGGCTAGGTCGAGTGTTTTCGCGCGGAAAGTAGCTGCAAATGTTCGTTTGGTCGCTCGAACCTGCCAGTCGAAACTCGCAAGTTTCCCGCAGGTTTCGTTACAACCTCGTTGCGACTCTCGTTGCTGTCTGAAGAGACAGATGCCTCTCATTGAGAGGAAACTTTGACGAAATTCATTACGATGTCATAAATTTACGACGCAAATATACACGCGCGGTCGCTTAGCTCTCGAGAATATTTAGAAAATCTCTTTCGTCATAAAAATTATACCTAATTATTTTCGTAATTCGAATTTTGATTTTATGACTTATTTAATAGAGTGCAAGAATTTATTATGATTTATTTAAAAGAGTTGCAATCAAATAAGGCTGTTTACTTATTACTGTTGTCTTAGATTGTGATGTTAGAAGAGAAAATACACAATAAAATAAATACACAATAAAAATTTTTGTATAAATATTTACAGTGAGAGAAAAAAAAGGTTGCAATTACCATAATTTAACGACAATTTAGAGTCTTTTTTGAGACAACGGTATTTTTATAGTTGTTTTAACCTTCCAAATATATAGTCAATGCTATTAATAATAGTCACACACTGTTTGAAAATCTTTAATTTTTTCCTAACATATTTTTCAGTTAATATTAGTACATAAATAGTAAATTTAGCAAAATAGTAATATAATGTATTCATTACAATTGCGATTGCATATAGTGCTGGAATTTACTTGCAACTTTCAGCACTGATTTATTGAATAAAAATGTTCATTTTATTTGCTATATACATCTTGATCTTTTACTATTATATTAATATTTAAATTATCATATTTAATTTTTTATTTTACTATTATATTAATATTTATATTATGATATATTAATATTTGAAATTATTATATTATAATTTATAGTATAATTTTTTCATGTTTGAGAGAATCATATATGATTATTATTACTACCATTATTGCAATGATAATAAAAATGAAACTCTCTAACTATCAATATAATTATTTTAATATACAATTATAGTTACAGAGACCAAATTTAATTTTTTTTCTCTCAATGTATTAATTAGCAACATGTGTTTCAATAAAACAATATTTATTATAAATCGATAAAATCGATTTATAAAATATACCGAAAACATTCCTTTCATTAATTAATAGATAAATACATTTGGAAATGAATTATGCAGAATCAGAAATAAAATGAGTTATGATCACAGCTATAACAAACTGTCAAATTAATACAAATATGAATATTATTTAATTTCTTCCCGAAACAAGATAATTTTTAATATATTTTATATTCTATTTTATCAATTTATTATAAATAATATTTTATTAAAATATTTCTATTTAAATATAATTTGTGAAACTCTCTTTCTCTCTCTCTCTTTTCGAGTATTTTTAATTCCGACGTCACAATTTGAAACAGTATTGGCGAATGAACAAAAGCTTTAATAGAATAAAGAAATAATCTATCTACGCGTTAAAACGTATATACATATATATATATATATATATATTGTATATATATTTATATATCTAGTTATTTATTATTTAGTTTAAGCCAGTAATAAATACGATATGTAATATGATAATAAATATGAATTTCACGATATGACGTCAAATAATAATGAGCGAAATGGACGGGTAATTAATTGCGCGTAAATAACAAGAAAAATTAGTTACCTGAAGCTCCATCGTTGTCATTTTGCCATCGGCTGTTCCTTTATTGTTCATTGATATTCACTCGCAAAAGCCGGGTAAAGACTGAATAATTATCATTTCGCACTATT